AAGTCAAGTTACGACCTCTCTCTCTCTCTCTCTCTCTCTCTCTCTCTCTCTCCTTCAATACAGCAACCAAGCGTGAGCAGTTCTTACTCAAATTTCTACCACCATTCCTCACATTCAACGTCTTCCCTAATCTACTCATTTCAATAGCCTCTCTTTGCTTTCTTTTAACCACAGACGTACCATAATCAACAAACCGACTATTTTGGTACCATTCTATCCCATGTCATGTGTTGGCATGTCTCACCAACACAAGGTCGACCACCGGAACACGCAATCGTGTAGCAAGTGGATCTCGAGAATGGGTCACATTTCTCTCTAAAAGATGGCATAACCAAAGTACGTCGTTCCTTAAACACTTTTCTCGTAAATGAGTGGGTTTTCAAGACTACCAGTCAATCAGGCATATGAATTGTGTTCACCCGATTTCGTTGAAGGTGATGACGGTCCGGTTGTTAATTTTCGCAAAATGATATGGGCAGAGATTACATTTCCAGTCGATTTCACATGGCCTTGCTTTGGCGAAATGTGATCTGCTCCCGGCTGGAGTGGACTGCAGTTCCGACCTCGCCTCGGTCGCATCAACACCCCCAGCGGGAGTCGAACCAGGACCGGGCCGCGTGTAAACCGGACACGTGGAACACTACGCCCCATTGCCACGAGTCGCCTTGAGTGACGGGGTACATGTCCGCTTCAAGCAATGTCGGGCATTTTCCATGTCACATTCTCCGTTGCGATTGTCGATGAAGCAGACTCGTGACAATGTGACCCAGTGGCCGACGTGGCGAGCCCACATGCGGCAGTTTCACGGTTCGACTCCCGCCGAGGGTGTCGACAAGACCTGGCCGCGGTGGAAACTGCAGTCGACTCGAGTCGGGAGGAGAACACTTTTTCGGTAAGCGAGGCTGCCAACTTGAACGGAAGACATCAGCTCTACTCAGCTCATTGTGGAACATCAACTACCCGTCCTTGAGCACCTTCAACAAAATAAGGTCAACACAATTGCCCACTTTCCGACTGGTTCTCCTCTCCTTCTCGAAACAAGGCACGGCGGCAAGAAGAGGACATGAGAAAAGGTCTCCTCCAGTCCGAGCTTGACGAAATGGCCTCTGCCTGAAAGTGGATTCCTCACGAAAGTGCCATTGTCGTCAATTAGGCCCAAACGATTGTGCCGTTCCGACTGTTTAGTCAAACGGTTGCTATCTCCTACTCTCATGCCTCCAATAATTATTGCTCTCACACTTGCAAGCTTGCTTTTGTAACTATGGCTGGAAAGAGAATTGAAAAAAGAACCAATCATCTCTTCGCAACACACCCTCGTCAACATCCAAAAAGGGCAAGGACCCATTCTCTTCCATCCCCCTCTTGAACCTGATACTGCTTCCTCATTGGCCACGTGAGAGTGGGCAACTATCTCATCTCTCGTCACCTCTCGAGGCCAGATGACCCAATCGTCGTGCCTGCATCGAACCCCCCTCCCCATTTAGGGCTTATTGTCGCCCATTCTGAGCAGTCTTGCTCAAGTTTGGCCAAGCAGTTGTCCGCCAAGTTGCGAACTCAGCCAGATCTGATCGCAAGCCAGCCGCGGGCCTCGAACT